GGTATTGTTTCAAACTTCATCTTTAAAATTTTAAACCTACCGTTAATAAATGCCTAATGCATGTTGTGTGTATGTGTATGCTTTTTCAAGTCTTCTTCTATTTCTCATAATCCAAATTAATCTTGAATACTCTCTTAATAAAATTGTTTAATCATATTGAATTAAATTACTTGATACTCGTTTTTTTACTAAGTTTTTTTGAATAAAGCAACTTATTACACTTGTAGGCATCTTAGCTCATTCCATTATTTTAGGTGTTTAAACAATACCGTTCAATAATTACTTTCCACAGTCATCTGACTTAAGCATTGAACAATTGAACTGTAGGTAAAATCTTTACTAATATGTTCAATTATCCATTTTATTGCTAATAATAAAACATAATGTAGTATAAATTTTACAAATAAGAAATTTATTAATAACACAACTACGACGAAGCTGATAGCAACTGATGTACCCAAGAAACCAGTGTACCTACAGTTACCTTTCAAGGGTGATCATTGCATGAAAATTACAACCAAACTGCAGCTAATCTGAGGCTTATCACAACAACTCAATCGATCTCAGTTACCCCAATCAAGTCTCCAAGACCGATTCAGTCCAAATCCCACTGTATTTACCAATTGACATGTAACTGCGGAGAAAGTTACTTAGGTAGGACAGATCGCCGATTGGAAGACAGGATAGGGGAACATATTCCAAAATGGTTAATCAAATCCATGATTCATCAACCTAGCCCATCATCTCAAAATCGATCAAGAAACCCAGCCTCGTCCATTGCGAAACATCTAATGATGAGTGGTCATCAAATTGACCCAAAATCAGCCTTTAGAGTTGTGACATGTCATCGAAACCCACACACACTGTAACTACTCGAAGCTATCTTGATTGGTCGGAAAAGTCCAACTTTATGTGTTCAAAAACAACTGTATGTTGACCTTTGTTTACCACCATGGTTCTAGTGAGTGAATGTCATGCTAAATAAAAAATTTTGACCTTATCTTCAAAACTGTATTTACACACGAATAACATGTTGCTTGTATGTGACTGACGAGAAAGCACGAAATGGCACTATCTCACAAGATATGTCTTCTCATTTCTCTATTCAAATTTATCTAAGGGAACCACTGTTTTTGTATTACTAAAATAGAAATAAATTAATTAGAGAAATAAACTTTTTTTTCTCATTTGTTTTAGCATCTATTGCATTCCATATTTTGTTACATATATATATTCATTATGACAAATTCACACACTTCAAGACAAAACTACACATTACACATAACAGTACCTGGTTTTTATCAATGATATACTCAATATATATATATATATATATATATATATATATATATATATATATATATTGTAGGCTTTCATGTGGAAATCTATTTCTAACATGTAACACTAATTATCACCATAGTTAGAAATAATAATTATTGAAATTTGAACACGGTTTACATGAATAGTGGTAGTAGTAGTAGTAGTAGTAGTAGTAGTAGTTTGACATTTGATATATTTCTCTACTTTCTTTTGATATAAAATTTAAATGCGCATAACAAACTTTCTTTGTCGGATTTAGTTTATTGCTAACTTTTTTTGTTTTCAATAGTGTATGTATGTATGTTTTACACAACTTTAAATTGTTGTCTGTTATAAAAAAAAAACGCTTTATTGTTTGACAAAGATGAAAAAAAAAATCGGTATTGCTTAGGTTTTTAAGTTCTTATACAAAGTAAACTATGCATATTTATCGCCCTTCCATTAATTATAATAACGTTTACATCTTATAAATATGCATGTATTTTAACTACATTAGAAATATTCTAGTGTATTTCATTGCATTTTTTTTCTTCTTGAAAGAAATATTTCTATTCAATTTACTCTCTATTCTTCAATGTTAATCCGGTACATTCATTCATTCATTCACAATATCAGGATGCACAGAGTAGTTTTTTTGTGTATGGCCTGAGTTCAATGTTTGTTTGATGTACTATAAGAATTTTTAACAATTTGAAGTTTTTTCTGTTTATTTACACATGAATGATTTGTAGTAGTTATTTAAGATAAATTATTTATATTTATTTGTGATAATATAATGTCTCAGTTAATTTTAAAAATATATGAAGCTATAATTGAAAGCCAGTTTGGGTAGGATTATTTCATAATAAGTTCAAAGTCAACTATGTATATTGGTGTATATGTCTTGTGTTACACTTCGTTTATTTATTGTCTCTTTATGTTATCCTATTTGTTAATTTCTTTCTACTAGATTTTTAATTTTTGATCAGAGTTCATCAATTATCTTCAATTAGTGTCATCATCTCCATAAACTAGCTTCGGTGTGTGTCAATGTAGCGGCTTCCATATCGTTCATTATTTACGGGTGCCGATAGTGGATGGAAAATGTAGAGAGGTGCTCAGTTTATGATCTGGAACGATGGTATAAAAGATTTGTGCACAGGATTAGCGACTGTCAGTCTTTCACGACTCTCTGATTGGGACCCTAGAGATGATGCATGTCCGAGGCTTTAGATATAATCAGTCATAGCTCAGAAAACTAGCAAGCACCAATCCTGATAAAGTTTCCTCTTAATTGAAAAATGATTTTTTTTTAGCACAAATGGATAGTAACAGGCACTGGGATTCACGGGCTCATCAGCTGGTTGTACCTGCAACTAAAGGTTAATATCCACCCTAGCGTAACACTGTTTGAAGCACCAGTTACTAGGCTTGAATCTCGGAGTAGAGATTAACTCTGGGTCTCTGCAACTCCCAGCTAACGATTCTGGAGTAGGACGACACGCACATACTGGATTCCACTCTAAAATACTTTCGGACCTTGCTTAAAATTATTGTGACTTTTTGGCAGTATCGATGCGACCCTCACAGGATGCGCATATATTCACTTTTTTTTCTCTGTTTGTATTCTCTTTTTCTCCTTTGTTTCTTTTTCTTTGTTTGGAGCATCCTATTTTTGGTGCTCAGTTTATCAAGATATTACGTATATTCAATCAAAAACGGTAGTTTAAATCATGAACTGATTTCATTTGGACAAATGGATTCAATAGATGTTTATCTTCGTAAGATGGAATATTATGCTATACTGCATATTAATCACACTTTTTCGTTACTTAAACAAAACCAATTCATAGTCACAATAAAGCTTCAGCTTGCGACCTGACTACCGATTATTATAAGTCATATGTCGGTGTCCCGAAGAAAGACCGTGGTAACCTTTTGTAATGCTGTTCTCCCAGTTGTTTAGTGCTTCTTAAGTTTCAGTTTCATCTCGACCACCACCAGATGATGATCTGAAGATACATCATCCCCCTCTCCTGATTCTCACATCTTCTATGGTCCTTCTGAACTTTGTATTGATGTAGATGGGATCAATTCGGTTCTGTATCGCTTGATCTAGTGAAACCCATGTAGATTTGTGTGGAATTATGGTACCGTCTGTAACCGTTTTGTTGAAGAAACATAGGTTTATGAATTCCTCACCGTCTTACTTCCTTTCTCCTAGTCCATCTCGTCTCATGATATCTTCATATCCGATGTTGTCCATTCCAACATTGGCGTTTAGATCTCTCATCAGAATGATCAAATCGTTTGCTGGGCATTTTTGGATGATTGACTACGGTCCCCCATAGAATTAACGCTGTTTTCATTGTTATCGTTGGGAGATGCATAGCACTGAATAAAGTTTTTTGCGATCCTTTCTTCTTTGATCTTGGAGGATGCTTTGGTGATCCTAGGTGCATGAAAACTTTAGTTATCATATTTTATAATTTTCTTACTACTATCAGTACACCTGTCTTCTTACTATTCACTTGTGCTTTTGCCTATTATATGTAGTGACGTAATCTTTTTCATTTCATTGTGATTGTGACTCAAATTGCCTTGATTACTTTAACATTTTCATATAAATATTCATGTATATTAGAGTAAAGCCTGATGATGATCTAATCGAAAACAATATTGTTCGCTTATATGTGTTGTTCAAAATTTCACAATTGCAATCTTTGATAATAGAACTGTCCAACTGGTGTTTGTCGAAGTATAATATTCAGTACCATTCTCTTGAAATGAGCTTCTACTGGCTTCTTTATTCAAAGCATTAAGTGTGTATAAAATATAAAATATACATCCACCAGGAATCCGATTTTAAAAGAATATTTCATGCAAGTAATGTGTAAATTGTTTTCTCATTAGTTGTAACTTTTATTTTATTTTGGGATTTTATTCATCGTTTTGACTGTTTTTTCTTATTTATTTCTCAGTGTAGATGCTTGTGAAACTAATTTAAATCAAATTACTAGTCAATTCTCAACATCATCAGAAAGATTGCTAAATTTATTATCTCTGAAAGGTGATGAATTCACTGGAGCCACCATTCCTGAAGAGATAGCTAGTTCGCTTTATTTAGTACGTCGTTTAAAATTGGATTTAGATATTCCTGCGGGTTTTGAAAAAATACATATTTCAGAAAATGATAAATCCGAGCGAAGTTTAAAACTACCTGGGCTAGATTGTATGAAAGATTGTCACAAGGGAAATAGTAATGAATTATTAACAAGTAAATTGACATCTGACACAACTAATAAAACTTCTGTCACAAAAGCGATAATATCGAAGAAGAAAAAACCAGCGGCGAAAAAAAACACTAATACAACAACTGCTAATAACAATCATAACAAAGGAAAACAACCACCTACTACAACAACAACAACAACAACTCCTACTACTACTGGTGGTGGCAAAAATACAAATAGTAAACATAGGCGGAAAAGACAAAGAAGTAATTAATTGACTTGTCCGTAACTTATCTGGTGTATATATGTGTATATCGTGTTCATTTTTTATGTTTACATTGAAATAAAAAAAAGATTGAATTGTAAATTGTTCATTTTTATTTCTTGTAATGGGGTTCATACTGTGTATGAAAAAATCACTGATAGTTCATGTCTAACTTGCAATCAGTATTTTCGTTCAAATTATCACATCTTTTTTATCAGCGCATCGAAAGGTAGTTGGTCGTTGGGTTGACATGTCCCAACCACATCAACTGATGAAGTTTCAATAGTTCATCTATTATTGATCTGCCATTCTTAACTAGTACTCGTTTCGTGACAACTGCCTTGCTTACTTGATTGTCCCTTGATATACGAGTGATGCTGCGAAGATATTGATGATCAAATACTAGTAATTTACGAATGTCCTCTACTCTTGCTGACCATGTTTCACAGCCATTAGGCAGGATTGGGCGAACTGTTGTACGGTAGATTCGTCCGTTGGTTAAGTAGACGCATATTTTGCCTTCGTTGAAGGTGACGCAAGTTAGCAAGGGTTATTTGTATCCTTGCAGAGATTTCGTCAGTCACTAGTGTGGTGTGTGCTACTTATACGAACGATATAAGTAGTATAAGAAGGGACGTGAAAGAAGAAGTCGCACGGTCAGAAGAGGAAAAGGGAAAGCAAATGGGCAAAAGCAAGAAGTAAATGGAGTACCAACAGGAAGGAAAGGAAGCAACAACAGGAATGGAAGAAGGATGGAGTGTTGGAAGTCACGACTCAAAGATGTTGTGCATATAGAGTATTCAGTGTAATGTTTTTGTTTTTAACTGACTCAGAGTGTAAATTTGAATAATACAATCTTCCTCGCCAGCCTCAGTCTTCTCACTAGGTCATCAGCAATGTTGAGTTTCTCGACTTAAATGAAGTAGTCAACACTCTCAACTACTTCATTCCTTATCACAAGTTCGGGCGCCGACGAAAGTCAATTTCGGAGCAAACTTTTGTATTTCGACAAGGATAATCGCATCACGAACATGCTTGCACTGTTGCTCAAGTTGTTCAGAAGACTGCATTTCGCCAGAGTCCTAACCTTACAGAACTTCATCATCTGCATATTCTAAGTCAAAAATTAAATCCCATCACTGTAAATTGTGTAGTTGGATTTTTGAGCTTCGAGACCATATTGATGCACGTTTTAAAGGTGTGTTGTAGCAAGCTGTATCGTCAAAAGATATGTTTGAGTTTAACACTGAGCTAGTGGTGAATACTTACATGCGTTTGGTCGTGCTAGAGTTAGTGGAGAGCTGTCATTTGAGTTGACTGCTCCAGTTTGTGTTCATAGGGACTCGGAGTATCAGGCCGTTTCAGTACACATCAAAATAATGTTTAAAATATATGTTTCTACATTTTAGTTGAAAATGTCGCTTAATCATTGGTTTGTACTAGTGTTGATTTTGACTGTAAGTATTGTAGTACTTGAATGCCAACATATATCACAGATGAAAAACAAAATATTTGCGTTTGCATTCGGTTCCTTGTGTAAACAACTTATTAATGTTGAGATGATGAGGTCAGTTTGCATATTTTTGAGGTAGTCTATAGGAATTTTCTGATGGATAAAAAATTCATATTACTCTTTAGTAGTTCGAAATAAGTTTAAGTATTCTAGTCAAAAAATAAATCTTTTTTTTATGGAATATTATAAGTTATCCCTGAAGGCTTTATGAAATGTCAAAAATATTTTCAGTCAATTAACGACTTTCATAATAATGTTCCTCTTTGTTTAAATCTATTAATTTTTTGTAACAAAAAGAGATTTGAAGTGCATTTTCATCCTAATTACTGATATTCCATTGTTTAAGAATCAGTGTTCATAGAGTGATGGAAGGTTAAGACTATCAGAAAATCGATACTGCAGGTGATTGATTACTCAGACTTAACATGTCTGAAAGCCCCATATTTAAACTAATCATGAAATCCAGGTCATGCTCCAAGTTAACAAATTATCATCTTTCTAAACTATTGAGAGAAAATTTTTATTACCTATCACTGAGTTTAAAGCATTCTAATCAAGTGTTTTGTAATAATTTAAACCAAAGATTTTGAAGATATTTCTTTCCCTTCTTTTATAGAAGAAACATTTCAGTATTTAATTGACTAATAATCTTAATTACATTGTTGTATGTATACGTATTCTCTTTTTTCTCCATACTACATAAAACAGTTTATGGACAAAATGTTTAAAGAATCTTTGATGAATAAATGTCTTTTGTACTCATGTGATAATATACGACAGCTTATTAGTGTATTGAAAATACAAACAAATCTGTCTACAAATTGAAAAGTGATCTTTTATTTTGCAAAACTATAAACGGGTGTGAATGTTTAAGTGTTTACAAAGAGAATTAATACAATGCGCTCTTTTTTGTTTGTCAACTAATTGAATATATGTGTATGTATATATCTATTCATGGTTTTGAATTTTATAAACACATCATGCACTAACATCAAAAGTTTAAAAGATACTCAATTCATTTGATCTTCAATAATATCCTCACAGGATCATTGACCATAAAGCTATCTTATATCATGTATATATATATTTATGAAAATATCTATTCAGCACTTATCAATACAGTCAATCGGAAAACCATGTAAATTTTTTCTAGAATAATAATATTAGAAGAGAATGATTACAGGTAACATGTGAAACTATTCACTGATTATATAATGTTTATTCGTTTACTAATTATTAATGTCAGCATATTATCGTTTGCGAAAAATAGTTCAGGTTGCATTCAATTATCTTGTCGCATTGCGATTAACTAGTAACAATTCAAGCTTTAAGTTACGAATTTCACTGGATTGTTAACATTTAGATTATAATACAGTGAAATTCATTGAAACATTTGGTCTAAATGTAATAAAAGTATTTAAGAATACCTAGGATTATGAGTAGAAAGAAACCTTTGAGTGGACCTTTGAGATAAGGAGATCATTAGTCTGATACCTCTGCAATGGATCGAGTTCACAAATATTTTTTTAACGTAATCGTTATGTGTTTTGGCCAATGATTCCATTCTATAGCCACAAAGGTAATGTTACTCATTAGAAACTTCACTTAATTCAAATGGACATCAGTTGTTTTCAAACGTCATAAAACTATAAAACTTCTCTGCAACAACTCATTAGTTGTACGGCATTCAAAAGTCTCCAGAGGCTCCTAAGTAGCCGAGAAGTCTCCATCAAATCACAGCTCCATAGAATTTCTAGAATATCGATTTCGCAGGAGGTGATTGGATGCTGATGTAATAACGCTAATTGCGGATCGGATGATTTTAATGCTATTTTCACTCTGCATAAGAAATTATAAATACACATGTTTTCTCTGTACATTTTGATACTTACTGGCGAAATGGTTTCTTTTGTTTTCTTACGACTTTTGATTTGCGACTTGGTGCGAGGGTGGGTCGGTTCAACTAGTTCTAGTCCCAATGGTTATATTGTGTATTAGCTGTTCTAATAGCATATTTAACACTCAGTTTTACTGTGCCCTTGAGCAATGAAACAACTTATTTTTAAAAAGATAGTTTTGGGGATAAGTTATGAATGATACTCACATAAACCAATTATCTTAACATTGTTTCATTAGTTTTCTAAAACTTCATCCATGAATCAACTGGAATCTACATTAGAAGTCTTCAGGAAATGATAAAACTGTACTTCTGCGTTATCACAGTGTTCTTTACCAATTTATAGCAAGGTATATATCCGAAAAATTCTGTTAGTCACTTATGCGGAGTAGAATTATTTAGATTCAGAATAAAATTAATATTCATCGATGACGCTACATGTTGTAACACTACAAATTGTTTGATATCCAAAATGTCTGATTCAGAATACCTTAATTCACAACCCAGTGTAATATGAAGTTGATGATGTACAGTCAAAATAAATTCCAGAATAACAAATTGACATAAGTGTTCACTGATTTCTATTTTCCATTAATTCAAAAGTCAATTAATGTTTATCTTTAAATTAATTGAATACTACTATGAAAAAGTGTTTTTTTTCTTTCTTCTGAAAAAAAAAATTAAGATTTTTAACTCATATTTAGATAAACAAGGTGTATTACATTTTTCTTGAACTGATCATATCATCAAGATATCATTGAATAAAATTTTTTTTACATTTAGAAACTACAAACCTTTCGTGAAGTATTTGTTCGAATGCATTAAATATATCTATATATATGTAGGCTTTATGGTTAACTAATCATCTAACTCTTTCCAAGTAAATAAATTCTTATCACAACACTTAATACAATGTGTAAATAAGCCAAATTCTTGAAAAGTAAACAACACTTTATCAGATTTTATGTATATTTAATCATGTGAAAAATTGAAAACATCTTTCACTAAAATAAATTTATTGAGTAATAATAAATCATACCACTAACTTACGAAAAAAAATGTATAAACCCTTTTAAGCTAAATAGTAAGTTAACTGATATATCCACTTGATTAAAACTAAAATTCACTTCAAAACAGAAAGTAGATAGTATCGAAAAATTATGTTTTTTCTTTCTTTCTGTTATTAAACTAATTCAATGTTTTGGTAATGAATTTCACATTTTTTTTTAAAAAAAATAATCATAAAATAAAATAAACAAATTCAGTAGTATTTGCTTTAAATTAGTTTTGAAATGATGTTAATTAATTGAGTCGAACGAAATAAATGAAGCCCCTTTCTACATTGTCGATAATCTTGCCTTTTAAAAAAAAAAGATTTATTTTTCAGAAAAAAAAATTTATTTACGATCACTCAATAAACTGTGATAAGATGAAAATACATGTTTTAATAAGAAAAAAAGAAGAGGATAAAAATACTAAATCTCTTAATTCATATTTATCATAATATTCAATAATTTTTCAATAATCATCCTCCTTCCAAAAATCATAAATAACAACATTATTAAACGAAATACTAAGAGCTTAAACCAAAAAATACGTTCACTATTTTGATAATTTTGATCAATGTATTTCTAAACCAGGTGGATTTTATCATTTCTTATTTTACACATTTGGAAGACGAAGAAGAAG